CCACCCCCCAGGACCACATGAGGCTTTGGGGGGACATCCAGTCACAAACCTTAACAATATATTTGTATTGAAATCAACTTTCTATGTGAATTTTCTTTTTTGCTACTAAATTCTCTGCTCTACTGTTCCTTTCTAGTTCTTCCTGATACCTCATTTCTTATCACCACTCTTTATCCCCATGCCTGGGACTTGAACTCAGCCTTCACACTGTGCTACATCCCCAGCCCTTTATTTTATTTTCAAATTTTGACACAGAGTTAAAGTCATCATTTTACAGTGATAAACATATACCCTTCTTTATAGCAGCACAATTTATAAAAGCTAAACCTTGGAAACATCTTGTACGCCCATCAAAGGATGAATGGCTAAAGAAAATGGGGTGATTATACACAATGGAGTACTACACTGCCATAAAGAAGGATAAACTTGAGGATTTCATAGGCAAATGGATGTGTCTTGAGATCATGATGTTAAGTGAAACAAATCAGACACACAGGTTTAAGTATTCCATGGTTTCTCTTATATAAGAAGCCCCAAATATAAACAAAGAGAAAAATAAAAGATAGATAATAAGAAGTAGGGGTATCTTTTTCAAATGGGAAGGAGAACAAGAGATGGAGGAAAGGGAAAATGGATACAAAATGAGTACTGAAAAAAATGGAGCTCAGTAGAGCTTTTACAAATGGGAAGGGGAACAAGAATTGGAGTGAGCAGGGAGGGATGGGAGCAGATGAAAATGAATTAAGCTGTGTTGTGTACGTGTACAAATTTCCATGGAAAATGTAATCATGATGTACTGCAAACATGTATTAATAAAACAAATTTTTGAGACAGGTTCTCACTAAGGCGCTAAGTTGCCTAGGCTGGGCTCTCACTTGCAGTCCTCTTGCCTCCATTCCTAGAGTGCTGAGGTTACAGGCAGGTGCCACCATGCCTGGCTTTATCTCCAGTTTTAAATTAAAATAAATTATTAGAGTTTTACAATTCATAATGATTACATTCATGGTAGGGACCTGATGCATGTACATAACACATCTCAATTCTTTCTCCCCTTCCCTTCTACCCCCTTTTATTTTTCAAACAGAGATTCATTCATTTATTTTATAAGTCACTATAAAGTTAATTATCATCTGTACAGATTAACAACCATGCTAATAGGCCAGAATTCAATGAAACACATAAGGAAATTATACTAAATCTAAGTATACTCTTAGATACATTGTCCATGCTGGATATTTATCTCCATTTCTTATTAGTCTTTGACTTTTTCTTCCATTAGTTCTCCCTTTATGTTTCTCCTTCCTCAATGTTATTTTTCATTTGTGTCTTTGTTACCTTTTTAACTCTTTCGCTCCTCTGTCCTTTTTTGTTTCCCCTTGTTATTTCTATTTTTCTTTTTCCCCCATTCTTTCCAGCTATTTGTTATGTGGCTTTCTTGTGGAAGTGAAGTTCATGATTAGAGTTGATGTGCCTTATATTACATTGCTCATTATTTGCATGATAAATCCTCCCCCCCCCCTCCAGAACCGGAATCGAACTCACGATCTTGAGCTTGCCAGGCAGGCTAAATCCCCAGCCCGATAAATCCTTTCTATCCTAAACTGAAATCAAACTTTCTTCACTTAACTAACCTGATGCAGATGGAGAATAACCCTAATTTCACTGACTCCCATGTTATAACTCTAAGCCCCAGATAGAGTAACACCCAATATTTCTGAAACATGGGAGGGCCCTCACAAGAAAGTATTCATAGCAGCATTATTCATGAAAGCCTAAAACTATAAACAAAACAAATAACCACAAATTGGTTAAATAAATATTTGGTGGAATACTGTACAGTACGGAGAATTAATGAATGTTCTATGCAATAACTAGGATGAAATCATTGTAATCTTGCAAGAAGATAAGACACAAAAAAGGAAAGAAAAATAATGTCATCTTTCGCAGTTCTAAAAATACAGGTTGTAGAAGTCAAGAAGTGATTACCATTGGGGCAGTGCGTGGAGAGGGGTAGGAGGGCTGCTGGGGCACTGGTTATGTTCTGCTTGTTGACCTGGGTATGGGCTAACTGGTATGCTTGTTTTGTGAAAGTTCCTCAAGCAGTACATCATGATTTGTATCCTTTTACATGTATGTTGTACTGCCATGAAAAATTTGCTTAAAATGAAAACCACTTATAAAATAAAATAAGCTGGAAATACCTGGGTAAAAATTACAAGATTTGCCTAAGAGACTTGGGAGTAACATTGTTTATTGCACTAGTAAATCTACAAAAAAGAAATGACGTACCGACAAATGGAAGTGGGCCTATAAAGAGTACATCAAAATGGTCACTTAGCGGGGTGTGGTGGCACACACCTGTAATCCCAGCACTTGGGAGGCTGAGGCAAGAGGATTGTTGCGAGTTCGAGACCTGCCTGGGCTACAAAGTGAGCTCAAGGCCAATCTGAACTGCATAGTGAGATCCTGTCTCAAAAAGACCAAAAAAAAAAAAAAAAAAAAAAAAAAAAAAAAAAAAATGGTGACTAACAAAAGTAATGGCAAATTTAGAATGTAGGATTTTCCATACATTTGCTACCTTTCTCAGGGAGGGCACACCTAAGCATAGCTTAAAAGGCAACTTTACATTTGTTTAAAAGTATGTGTAAATATTCCCACATGTACGTGATTTTATTTTTTTACTTGCTATTGAAATTCATATACCACAATCTTATCCTATAGGTTAAAAAAAATAACAAAAGCAGCTTTAATTTCAAGTAAAGCTTCACAGATAATACAGAATTAAAAGTATACTTACTATTCACAGAACATATCAGAGAAAGAGTATTCCTAGTGTACATGTGAAACAAGTCAAACTATGGTCTTCTGTAGTCACAATGGACACAAGAGTCTATAAAGCTCCATCTTATTGAAAAAGGGAACTTCGATAATTCAATTTTAAAAAAAATAAACACTGCATATTTCCTCTTCTGAACAGAGGTATTCATCTACTTTCTTTTTTTTTCTATAAGACTATTATTATATTCACTCTTTGAAGATATGATCTGTTGCTATTATAAGCAGATATCACTATGAAAATAAAATGGCATTTTAATCCTGGTTGGGCCATGAACAGATATAATCAGAATTCAGGATCAATTAACTTGATATAATCACTAATTGTCTTCCTTCAGAAGTGGATGCATAGTTTCTGATTATATTTAAGAAGAAACCCAAAATAAGACATTATAACCTCAGGTAGCCAAATACATTTCAGGATTTCGCACACCTGTGCCAAAGGGACATATGAGTCACAATAAAGCAGACACCGTCTCACCTAAGGACCTGGGTACTTATTTTTCTGTAGAAATGAAATACAATTTCACATTAACTATATGGGAATAAACATATATATTACAAAATACGTAAAAATTGTTGGCACTCTGAAAGAAGTAAAGATAAGGTATAAAATTAATTTTTTGCTTAAAATATGATTTCTGTAAGTATATATTTGCAATGTGTATATTCCAAACCAAATTTTTCTCTTGATACTAAGTTCATTTAGAAAGTTTTGTCTTTCAAAGCTTATTTTAAATACAGACTACTATACACAATTTATGTTTTAGATTTTTTTGAAAGTCAGAATTCAGTTAAGAATTATTTATCTTACTGCTAAATATTTAGGAAAAATGTCAGCTCATTTTCATTACCCATGGTCCTATATTGAAATTATTTTTGCTCAACACAGCAGTTTTCATGTTAGATGTTAAATAGACCATACGATATATACCTTCACACAATGATCATTTCTGTAGACTAAGATAAATTTAAGCTGCATTTTCAAGCTAGTCCATCATATTTTCTTTTCATTGTAATCCATGATTATCACATTGAAAATTTATTTCTATAAACCATGAGAATCTCTTTATCTGCCTCACTTGTCTGCATCAATGTTTTTAAAACTATGTATCAGTCCAGTTCTATATAGCTTTTAATTTAACCATTTCCAACATCAGAGACCCTGAATTCTGGTTATACATCTGGTTACATATAACAACACTTCAGTATTTTGAAACAGGATCTCACTAAGTTGCTAATTTGCCCAGGCTGGCCTTGAACTTGAGGTCCTCCTGCGTCAGCCCCCCTTGTTGAGATTGTAAGCTTGTGCTATCATCAATGAGGCTAATCAACACCTCATTATTAAACATTAATTAAACTTACATTCTTTTTGTTGTTGTTGTTGTTTTGTTTTTTTCCAGTACCGGGAACTGAACTCACGACCTTGCGCTTGCCAGGCAGGGCGCTGTGCCGCTGAGCTAAATCCCCAGCCCCTGAACTTATATTCTTAAAACTGCCTTTTTTACCAAAAGTGACTAAAGGTTTTTATTGGTAAGTGCATTAATAACTATTTCAGCATTCACTAAGTGTGGTCTTACACTGTGACAGTGGCTCATGGATATCAAGGTCAGTCAGAAACTGATTTTTTCTGTCATAAATCCTTCCTGGCTCACCTGTCCATGGAGGCTCTCAGGCACCACTTCTTGCAATTGAACAGAGACACCCCAGTATCCTCATGAACACAGCAAATCTGCCTTTGGGGGGCCAGCCACATATTATAACATCCTTATAAGATCCCGCACATTGCTAATTTGCCTGGGTAATTCTCTTCACTATTTTGCATACTTTAGAGGTAAGCTATTGATTTTATAAATAAAGTATGAAAATAATCTTAACGCTTTTTTGTTCAATGGCTAAGACATGTAAAAGCTCAAAGATTTTAAAATCTAATAGGAAGAGCATGAGCATTTCAAGTCCAAAGAAATAGTCAGTGCAGAAAGTGTTTGCACAGGGTGTCATCAGTGGGTGAATTTTGTCTTGCAGTCCTTGCTTGCAGTGACCTGAGTCCACATCTAGGAAGCCAGACTCCGCATAGCCTGTGGAAACAAAGGGAAAACAAGTGGCAGTGAACTCCTGTCTCCTTGGCTCTACCTTTTTTCAGGGTTCTATGATACCGATTTCTTGTTGTCATTCATCTTAGGTATAATTATCATAATAAAAACTGGGCTTAACAACTTCATTTTGAACATCACCATACTTTCATTGGATTTACACAAAAGCGATAATCACTATTCATCGAGCCCTTACTATGTAAAAGACACTGTTCTTGTTAGCTTACGTGCATTCTTTCATTTTCACAACTCGGTGGTACTATTTCCATTTTAAATCCAGATACTAAAATGAAGAAAGGGTAAGTAATTTGCTCTGTGTTTACAGCCAGTAAGTAGCAGAATCAGGACTGGTCCCCAGGTCTGTTTCGTTCCAAAGTCCATGAACCCACTGTGCTGCACCGCTTCACTGCCTCTAGAAGCCCTACAGGATTCTCTGCATGTTGCCCCCACTGCCTCATTCTAATGAAGAAGATGGAATGTTATTCTCTTAACATTTTTATCAGGAACTGGAAAAAGGCACAGTAGTGATGCTTTTCAGATTTGCCTACGACACAGGTTGGGTTGGGGAGTAAATATGTTAGATGATAGTTTCAGAATACAAAATATGTCAATAAGCTGAAGCCAGCAAGATGCATCATAAATGCACATACTATTTCATTTGGGTCAAAGACTAATTACAGAATTTATATGAGAAGTCATTAGTTGCCAGTGTTTATGAATCTTCATCCAAAAGTTAAGTGAAGATCCATCATGGTGTAGGAGGGATTTGTGCATGGGCTAGGATGCTGCATTACTTAATTTCTAAGAAATTGTTCAACTATTTTTCCTCATTTGATTTTTTGAGAGAAGGTCTCATTCTGTAGTTTAGGCTGGCCGTGGACTTACTATGTAGCCCAGACTGGCCTGGAACTCCTGGTGATCCTCCTAAGGGCTGGGATTACAGGTGTGTGCCACTAGGCGTGGCTCGACTTCAAAATTCTGTGACCTTCACCTGTTCCCATTTTACTCAGGGATGAAGTCACAAAATTTACTCAGATACTATAAATCCAGATACTGCAAGTTTCCTAGGAAGAATGTGCTGAAAGAAGAGCATCTAAAATACATAGGAATCTTGGGGCTGGGGATTTAGCTCAGCGGCACAGCACCTGCCTGGCAAGTGCAAGGTCATCAGTTCGATTCCTAGTACCAGAAGAAAAAGCACAAAAAACAAAACAAACAAACAAACAAAAAATACATAGAAATCAACCTCAGGTGAAAGGATATTTCTTTGAGGCCATTATCAGTCCAATGAAAAAAAATTATAAGGTGGCTATTCCTTGTGTAATATACTATTCATGAAGCTTATGAAGTTTGTGGGTTAGAAATACCTTCTCTTTAGGTTTTCACTTTCCCCTGGCCTTAAATTTCTAGAAGAGAAATCTGCATTGGGTTAGGTGTAATCAGGACCAGTGTACTGGCTGTTGCTGGTCATGGGTCATCTCCATACACCTGAGTCAGAGGTCCCCCAAAACTTAATATCTTCAAGGGAGAAATCTTATTTTCCATTTTCCCCTCCTATGAAGCCATCCTTTCTGTAGTTTTTGGAATTATTTTCTCTGAACTGTTCTTTTTTTTTTGGTTTTTCTCCGGTACCAGGAACCGAACTCACGACCTTGCGCTTGCCAGGCAGGCGCTTTGCCGCTGAGCTAAATCCCCAGCCTCTCTGAACTGTTCTTAATGATACATATTCTCTACCTGTATTACTCAGTTCACTCAAGATTCCGTCTATGTTATTTTCTTGAGGAGAAAGGAATGATTATACCTCTTCCTGGACATCGAGTTCTTCCTGAGGCATCTTTTCTTCCATTAATTCAAGTGGATCTTTGCATTCTTGAATGAGGGTGATCTTGAGAAAGAGAGCACATGATATTTATTAGAAATATAACAGCATCGGTCCACCTGGTACTTCACTAAATATGATTTGAAGCTTTGCTGGTGCTTTTGTAATCTGCAGACTTCAGAATCTTCTTCGGCTTTCTTATTCTTTTATATTTTCCAACTTAGAATTTTCTGTATATCAATTTTCACATACAAGTGTGAACCACTACAATTCTCCATTGTCTAAACTCCCAGTCCACTGTCTTCCAGACCTCTGAAGTGTGCCTTTCAAGCGACCCCCTCTGCCTAAATGGCAGGGCAGTCAATAGCACTTCTGTTTCAGTGGCTGGATTAAGAACACCTCGTATAGCATTGAGCATGCAGTGAATGCACAGCAAAGATTTGTGACTGAGGACAGTAAACAGTCTCAACTTGAATTAGATGGAGATTAGCTTTACTGGAGATAGAAAATAATGTCTGTAGACCAAGCTGGTTCAGGGAAGTTTAGCTTTTTAGGAGTACTATGCGATTTAATCTTCTGCACCAAGGAGACCAACAATCAGGCCTTTGTCTCATGCATGAAAAAGGACATTTCCAAAGCAACTCCAAATATATACCAAGTATACATTAGTATACAAATGTATAGTAGGAAATGATTTGAAGTGGTATTTTGCTGTTTTTTCATGTCACAAATAACCCAATTCTCTTGGTTAGTGGGAAATTAATATAAGATTAAGTCCCGTGAAAATGATCATGACATGATGGGAAATGTAGAGTTAAGGGTAACCGGAAGTTGGGATGGTCCTTATGATGCGAGAATAAAGGATAGGGAAAGGATCAGTCATATCACTGCATTGCCAGTATTCTTTTTTTTTTTTTGGTTTTTCTCTGGTACCGGGAACCGAACTCACTACCTTGCACTTGCCAAGCAGGCACTTTGCCGCTGAGCTAAATCCCCAGCCCCATTGCCAGTATTCTTAATATACAAGTGACTCTTCCTAAAGAAAAGGAAGGTACCATAGAAGGGGCTGTCATCTACTATAACTCAACCACGTAGAGGGCTTTGTGCTAGACCCCGAGGAGACACGGAGGTGTAAGGTTCCTCAGCTCACAGGCCATCAGTAATGAACAGCCCACTCTTCAGTGAGCCAGAAAGTAGATAATGCAAAAATCCAGTTATGTTCAGGGTAACATATTGAGGAATGGAAACAAATCAAGCAAACAGACGCTCCACCCCAGCCATGCACAACACCTCCCCAACTACAAGGTGGAGTCTAACATGGTGAGTGGACTTTTGGCCAGTGAGTTTTGTCATATACCTGGGCTAAGATTTTAGTTCAGAATGGTTGGTAAAAAACAAAATAATTATTTTCATGTTGAGAAGGAACTTAGTACGTTGGTTTCTATTATGTTTAATGTGGGGTCTTTTTTTAGATATGTGATCTTGAACTGGATAGAAATTAATTTTATTTCTTTATTTTGCTTTGTTTTTACCTATGGGCTAAGGAATTTCATGTTATATAGAAGGTTTATAAGTTTTCAAAGATGAGCAGTTTACATGTAGCTGGTTTTATGTTTGTGGTTTTACTACTCTTTTCCCCAGGAGCATTAAGTAGAGCTGCCTCTCCACTAACAGAAGCTGAAAAAAAATATAATGTAATATTATTTTCTAAATTAGTTTTACTTTAGATATTGACTTCCTACAATAAAGATGTGTATCCTAAATTTAGAAAAACGAGAAGCAATTTAATGTATGTATGTCACTAGACTTATTTTTTGTATGCATTTGTTTTTGTCCCCCCAATTTACTGTGACAGCTGCATGAGAAATAGGGCTATTGTTCCATGTCTGCCAGACCTGGGCAATAAGCCCATTCAGAATGTTTATCTATCTAAAAGATTTCACAAAATTGACAAACCTAGAGGAACTTAGGGTCTATTATACTTTGAGAGGGAAAGTTAAGCCTGGCTTTATTTATGGTTTTAATTATTTTTTCCAAGACCACTTATGGCCTGATGTATCCTATTTAAAGACATTTATATATAATTCACAGGTTTCCAGATGGCTGAAATTTCTGTTGCACCTATATACACAAATCACAGAAGATGCTATATTCTAAAGTGGCATTATACCAAGGCTACAGTGATAGAAACAGCATAGGACTGGCCCAAAAACAGACACATGGATCAAGGGAATAGAACAGAGGATGCAGAAATAACCTCAAGGACATTCAGCTACCTGATCATTGACAAAAGGACCAAGGACATACACTGGAGTAAAGATGCCTTCTTTCATAAATGCTGCTGGGAAAACTGTCTATCACTATGCAGAAGATTAAATCTAGACCCATATATCTCACCATGTACTAATTTAACATCAAAACGGATCAAAGAGCTAAATGTTAAAACAGAAACAATTTGCTAGAAGATAAAATAGGTGAAACACTTGAAGCCTAGGCATAGGCAAGGACTTTCTGAACAGAACCCCAGTTCTACAAGAAATAACACTGAGAATCAACAAATAGAATCATATCAAATTAAAAAGCTTCTGCACAGCAAAGAAAACAACCAACAGATTGAAGAGACAACTTATAGAAGAGGTACAAATGGTCAGTAAGTACATGGAAAAGTATTTAACACCTCTGGCCATCATGTGAATTAAAGCAACACTGAGATTCCATCTCACTCCAGAAAGAATGGCTATCATCAAGAAATCTAATAATAACAAACGTTGATGAGCCTGTGGTGGAAAAGGAACCCTTTTACACAGTTGGTGGAATGTAAACTAGCACAACCACTATGGAAATCAGTATGGACATTCCCCAAAAAAGAAATAAAACTAGAAATTCTATTTGAATCCTATTCCTCTTCTAGGTATTTTCCTGAAAGAGTTAAAGACATAATACTGCAGTGATGCTTGCATACTCATGTTTAGAACTGCACAAGTCATAATAGCTCAATCTTGGAGGCACCCTATAAATGCATTAACAGATGAATGGATAAAGAAAATGGTATTTACACTCAGTGGAGTACTATGCAGTACATGTAAACAAATAAACGAGTCTTGTGTAGGAAAACAGATGCACTTTGAGATCATAATGTTAACTGAAATAAATAAAACACACAAACTTAACCTGATTCTCTTATGTGGGCTTTAACCTGGTTCTCTTATGTGAGAAACTCAAAGTATAAATAAAGATAATTGGATAAACCAATTATAAAAGATAATCAGAAATAAGGTATAAACCTTTTGCCAATGGGAAGGGGTCCAAAAGATGGAAAGGGAAATGGAAGGGAGGGAAAGATGATGAAAAAATTGAGATGTATTATGTACACATACCAAATCCATACAAGGAGTGTTATTCCATACTGCAAACATGGACTAATAAAAAATAAAGATAGGGAAAAACTAAATAGCATTATAGCTAATGCCCATATTTATTAGTTAACCCACATACTATAGAACTACTGTGTATTAGACACTACCAGGTACTTTCCTAAAGTCTCTGTCGTTGAATCCTCACATTTCCCCGGCAAACTAAATGTTTTTACTCCCATTCCTTCACTGAAAAACTGAGGTTCTGAGAGGTTATGTACATGGCCTTAAAAGTCAAACTAGATGTATGTAACTTTTGCTATTTATAGAAATCCTGATAGTCTAGAAAGACACAAGTGTAGCAAAGTGAAATATTTACCATTTCTAAAATGGAGTCTTGACCTTCTTGGGCTTTAACTTGGTTCTGTAGATACACTATGACATCGTGAATAGTCAAAAATAATGTGTCCTTTCTATTGTTATCGTCAAAGAAACCACACTGCTCCATCTGCTTGATAACATGGTCTACAAAACAAAGAGATAATATTTAGTGCTAGGAAAAATTATTTTTGTAACATAAACCAATTACTAAGTGTCTTGGTTACTTTTCTCTCATTGCTGGGACAAAATACCTGATGCCCAAAATGAAGGAAGGAAAGGTTTATTTCGCTTACAGTTTGTGGAGGTTTTAGTCCATACTTGGCAGGTTACAAGGCAGAGTGGCACATGGCAGAGGGCTACAGCTCATGGCGGCAGAACACAGCAAAAACAACAAGCACTAAAAAGGGAGGAATGGAGGCAAGCAGCCTCTTCCTCTCCCTTACATATGCAAACCATCCACCCCAGGGCGGTGTAGCTCTCACACCCATAATCAATCTAACTCCAAAAGCCTGCCCCATGGCCGCATAAGGCTTTGGGGGGGACACACAGACACAAACCATAACACTAAGTTTTTGTAGACACCCGCTCCCCATTTCCAAAATGTGATCCTGCCCTACACTGACTTTCTGTCCAGGAGCACACAGAATGGTTATCTCATGACTGCTTGTGGACGCCCTTGGTGACTAACCATGTGCATTTTGCTGAGTCAGTGTACCATCCCCTAGCTACCGTGAGCCTGGTTCATAGTTGTGCATGTCTCTGGCAAATTTTCCTGAGCAGCGGGTATTGTCTCACCTAAAGAGGCCTGGGGGGCTGCAGACCCAAACTCGGGCAGCGTGCATGCACTGACTGACAACACTGCAGGTACAAAGGCAGAGCCCCTTGCTTAAGATAGCATAACCCTCTTGTGCTCTTCCTGCTTTGGGGCTCCTTGTGTAATCAGAAATCTAGGGCAACACTCCTGAAACAACGTCTTTGTTCAGCTTCTCCTCACCCTATCCTGCTTCCCAGTCCTTTAATCATTTGTGTAAGCATCCCCATCTCAGGCTTTGCTTCTAGAAAACTCAGCACAGGCACTAGCACTCTCCTACTCACCTGTGCAGCCAGACACAAAGACTCACACCCTCATCAGTCCTCTTGCTTCAGTGGATCTAAGTCTTCTCCAGCTCTGCTCTCCCCATAACAACCCCCCCACTGATCTTATACCACTATCAGACTGTAAATTTCCACACAGAACCAACTAGGTGGTACAAATTGGAAGTAACATCTTTCTGGGTTCAAAAGTACCTTGTTATTTTTATTTGGTACAGTTTCTCTTTGTAATGATGAAAAGTTTTGGAAAGAGATAATAAGTATGAACATAATTAATGCTACTGAATTAATGATACACTTAAAAGTGACTAAAATGGAAATTTTTCTTAGACATTTTTATCACAATACAAAAACAAAAGGGCTTATGAGAAAGTCTTAGATAGATAAGCATATATAACATTTACCTTGAAGTGATGCAAAGTACACATTCACATCAATTCTTTGGAATTCTTTAACAATCTAAGAATAAAAAAGGAGACAGTAAAATGAGTTACCTTTTGTGCCCGTCAGTCAGTCATATTCGCTTACTTGCTCAGGAGAAATGTCAACATTTTCATGGTTAATCAAGACTGAGGAAGTTCACTGTTGGAAAAGCCGTAGAGGTTTTCAACTTATAGTGATATGTTTAAAGATGAAAAGACCATATCAAGAGATGACAATATCCAGTGGTCAGTAGCACAACACTCTAAAACAGAGATGCTAACTATTTGTGGAAGGGACAAAAGTACAGAAGCTTCCTGATATAGCCCCTGCCAATTAGAGCAAAAAAGTATGAGTTCACACTGGAGTGGAAAAGAGATGGGTGTGGATATGACCACCACATTCAGAATGTAAAACCTGACCTAAACGCTGAGGTCTCCATTTTGAATGTATCGATGTCAGTGTCTTGATTACAATTCTTTTTTTTTAAATTTTTTTTTTTTTTGGTTTTTTTGGTTTTTCTCCGGTACCAGGAACCGAACTCGCGACCTTGCGCTTGCCAGGCAGGGGCTTTTGCCGCTGAGCTAAATCCCCAGCCCCTCCTGATTACAATTCTGTGCAGTAGTTTTTGGTAAGATGTGACTATGGAAGAAACTGGGGCCAGAGTACGCAGAATCTCTCTAATATTTCTTTTTATTTTTATTTTAAAGAAAAACAAAAAAATTCCAAAACAATATGATAGAAGGGTAACAATGGTTAATACATTGCACACTGTCATCTTTATTTATTTTTTTGGTTTTTCTCCGGTACCAGGAATCGAACTCACGACTTTGTGCTTGCCAGGCAGGTGCTGTGCCGCTGAGCTAAATCCCCAGCCCCCTGTCATCTTTAAATTAGTTACTCAGAGTATGAGATATCAGCATTTAATTGTCCAAACAATATTAGCACAAACCTAGCTTTTCAATGAACTGAGAGAAATTAGTAGTATAATTATTTTAACTATCTTTTGTATATGTATATATATATTTTTCCTTTTACTTTTCCCTTTCTCTAATATTTCTTACAACTATATGTAATTCATTTTAATGATCATTAAAAGTTTAATTTTAAAAAAGAACACTAGACCTAGGGAGCATAAATAATTGTCATTATAGTATTTGAAAGTAACTATGGAAGTATGGAAAATGTTCTGGCATTAAATATGTGAAGACTCTCTGTAAAAGTAATTCATGAAACATTTTGGCCAATACAGTCTACACTGGATGTGAGCCAATCTCAAGGGTGAAATGAACAACAAAGGACAAGAGTGTGTTTTCAAAGGAGTTAATAACCAGATCTGCTAAGAGAACAGAGCCCTGTCTGCATATTTGCACCTTCTTGCCAAGGTGAAAGTAACCACATCTGCCATTATTTCCTACTCCTGCAGAGATGGCCAGAAAGCCCGCAACAAGGCTAAACCTAAGAAATCTTTTTCTTTCTTTTTTTTTGGGGGGGGGTTTTGGTTTTTCTCCGGTACCAGGAACCGAACTCACGACCTTGCGCTTGCCAGGCAAGCGCTTTTGCCGCTGAGCTAAATCCCCAGCCCCAGAAATCTTTTTCTATATTATTACATCTGATTGTTGGCACCTTAGTGTAGTTTTCTGCTAACCCTCATGATACCTACCTGAAGTTTCACATAAAAGTCATGCATGAGATGATACCCTACTTAAAATCTGCTTTGAAGCACTTAGCACAGTTGTTATTTGTAAGACTACTTAATGTTTGCCTTCCCCTATAGACTGCTTGGTCTCATGAGGATAGAAACTATGGCTACTTACTCATTAGTCTCCTATGCCTGGCGGAGTACTTAGCACATTTTAGGCATTTAACATTGATTTGTTGAAGGAATAATGTTATTGAGCTTGCGTAAATGCTTTCTAACATCACTAGTTTTTCCACCGTGCATGCTCCTCAACTCTTGCTTTGACTTCCTAGATGACTAACCTGTGGCCTGCTCTCATCTCTTAGTAATCTCTGACTTTTCCGGTCCTATCACGTTCTTGGTGTTCCTTATCTTGCTGCTGTTCTCATAACAAATTGAGTAAAATACGTCACATACAATTTTGCCATTTTTCCTTTTCATATTCCATTTACATTCTCAGAAAAATAAAACATAATGTTAATATTTACTGACAGTGTTTATGTATCAGATACTCTTCTAAACTCCTTATATTTATAAGCTTAGTTAATCTTCATGATATTTCTGCAAACTAAATGCCACCATTATCTCCGTTACAAATGAAATTGAGGCACAGACAGATTAAGCAACTTGTTCCCAGTCAGACAGCGAGTGGTGGAGTCAGGAATCACATCAGCTAGCCTGTCTCCACAGCCCATGCGTCGTCCTTTTGCCAAACTGGGCAGCCTGTATCATTTTACTATTGACACAGCTACAGCTCTGCAGCTGAGAAAGCCAGAACCTTACCATGCGCAAAGACCTCACTCCGACAACATCCAGGAAGGATACAGCTCCACAGTCAAGCACAAGGCTATGGATGGACACTTTGGGAACATTCACTTTGACTGGAAGCTCAGAGTTCCAGTCCACTTGAAACTCAATTTCCTTGGTGGGGATATCAAGGTCTTTCGGATCTTCAATGTCTTCATCAGCCTCAAAAGCATTATTCAATGAACCACCATCGCTTATGATCCCATTCTAAAGAAAGAAAACACGGCCGGCTTAATTGCCAGTGTCTTGAAATGTCTTTTGGTCGTTCATCTCCAATTACTTAAAAATCCTACACCTACTGTTCCTTTTTTTTTTTTTTCCTGGTACCGGGAATCGAACTCACAACCTTGCACTTTCCAGGCAGGCGCTGTGCTGCTGAGCTAAATCCCCAGTCCCTACCTACTGTTCCTTGGTAAGGAAAAGTACCAACAGGATGAATACTTAAGGAATGAGTTTTAGTCAAACCTGGTGGAACACACCTGTAATTCTAGCTACTCAGGAGGCTAAGGCAAGAGGATTGCAACTTCCAGGCCAGCCTTAATGAGACTATCTCAAAATAAAAGGAAGTGCTGGAGATGTCACTCAGTGGTAGAGTGCTTGCTTGCATGTGTGAGGCCTTGGGTTTGATCCCCACTACCACACACACACGCACATACACATATAAACGCATTTTACCTCAGCCCAAACTTTGATGTTCTCTAGAAAGAAAAATGGGAGAACAGGGAGCCAAGGAACTCGATTTCTGAAAGATTGTGGAAATTTGCCAACAGCTGTACTAGCGATAGGGCAATGTGAAGAGAAGTTAATAGCTCTAAGAGTTAGTGAACTTACTGCCTTCCATTGTAATTTCTGGTATTGAATTTGTACTTACTTTGTTTCTTCCAACAAAAATAAGGTTTAAAAATGATGCAGATGCTATTTATGGGGAGAAATTTATACCCTGGTTACAGGGAGCGATGCTGATTTCATTTTATCAGAAACAGCTCAGCCATTCTCTGACATACATATGTCGTCTGCTGGTACACATCTGGATACCAAAGGGGATAAATTTAATTTTAGACCGCATCTGTTTTTCATCAGAGAAAGGAAAGAATTAGGAGGGGGGAGAGTGTTACCTCACCTTTGTTGCCTTTAATTGACCTTTTTTGATGAGCTTCTGTATTCTCCTCAGTGCTTTCAGCCGCTTGTTATATACTCTAATGGCATCAAATCCAACCTTTGGAAATAAATGTCAGTTACTCAATGTCTGCTTGTGACTGCTCACCAGGGCCAACTGTTGTCTGAACGCTTATTTCTCAGTACATAATATTCCTTGAGACACCTTGTCAGAAAAGCAATTGTAAGGTCTGATCCGATGGTGTAGACCCCTCTGTACTGACGATAGCATATTAAAAATTCCAAGGTAGTGCAAGACAAAACAGCCCACAACAACCGCTAGCTTTAAGTCTGTTTTCCAGATTTCCTTGACATCGCAGAGCCCTTCTGTCGTTGCAAAATCTATAAACATTCCTCTGAACCAGTTTGCCCTGGAACTCGCCTAAGAAAACACCGGCCCAAGTTCAAAGGGTCGGTGACATTCATGGTGGGCGTGTCCTCCTTACATCAGTGCTGTTTACTTGCTCCAAGCAAGGACCACGCCTCCAAGACCTTGTCCCACCTCACCACCACCGCCCGCCGGCTCGCCCAGGCTCCAAATCCCGGCAGAACCCGGTGTGTCCGGCTAAGGTGGACCGCCCCTTTCAGTGAACCGCTCTCGCTGCATTTAAAAGTGTTAATTTAAAATAACCACAATAGACCTCGTACATGTTAGCAAAAATATGTTTGTTTGGTTTGTTGTTTGCTTGTTCGTTTGTTTGTGACCACAACTGTTTTTCAAATGAAAATACTTAGAACAGTGGCATTGTTTTTGCCCCGCGGGGCTTCTCAAAGGGCTACTGCTCTCTCCTGCTTTGCAGATTATCGTCCTGGCACTTCGCCCTGCTCCACTCAGGCTTGCTCTGAACGCATAGCGTTTTAGTCTGGCAGTTATTACTGCCTAGATTTTAACCTGCTGGTTAAAATCCGTAATAGATTATGAATTTTTTTTTTGCCCATCCCCACATTGTAAGTTCTTTTTTTTTTTTTTTCCTGTACCAGGAATCGAACTCACAACCTTGCGCTTGCCAGGCAGGCGCTGTGCCGCTGAGCTAAATCCCCAGCCCCTCGGAAATTTTTTAAGGAAAAGGATGTTATAATTTAATTCTGCATGCTCCACACAAAGGGGAATTCAGAGCATAGTCTCTCGTTCCCCGCTGAAGCCCAATAAATAAGAGAGTGAAATCTCAAGTTAAAAACCAAATTTTCAGGGATAAAATACTTACTGTGGACTTGATACATTTTTTAAAACCATCAACATTGCCATAAAAAATAGGACCAGAAAATCTAACAATCTTCACTCCTTGAAGTTCTTCAATCTGGCATTTAAAAAGAAGAAAAAAAAAAAGAAGTTAATTCTAGACCTCAGGTATTGAACAAAATAGTTGTTTTACAAGGAGCCCGGTGACAACTACTTAGAAGTGGGCAGCAACACTCAACTTTCCTTAAATAGGGGCCAAAACTCTTGGATTTCCAAAACTCCACAGAAGATTAAATTAGGGCCTTAGACATTTTCAGCCCTTTGATTTCCTGGTAAAGAAGCTGAGGTTCAAAACAGTGACACGGTTTGTCTCCAGTTCATACCACTGATCCTCCTGATTTTGCTAAAATTTTTTTGAGTAGCAAAAATAAAACAAGCAAATTCCAGGAGGTCTGCAGGAACTGTCATCTGCTTGTTTATACCCAGAGGCAGTGGCCGTGTCGTAAGTGGAGCCCATAGAATCACAGACTTGTCGGGTCTTTAGGGATCATAGCCGTGTTAGTCTCAGCCCTTCAGGTGAGAGAAGTGAGGCCCCGGGAGGCTCAGTGTCTCAAGCAAAGTCTCCCCAAGAGGGAGCGGAGAATTCAGAACTCCCAAACTCAGCCCAGAGTTTCCTGTCTCAGTGCCAAAAGTTTTTCTGCAATCCTTTTAGCTCTTTTTAGCATGTGGCTCAACAGAACAAAAAGATTGTGGAAATAAATTAACAGCTGGAAATCCAGGTTTGGTGTCCAATATTTTAATATTAAGGCAGAATTAGACTATAACTTCCTAGGACACACACACACACACACACACACACACTATATATATGTATATATATATTTTTTTAACATAATGTTCCTATGTTTATGTTTTCCAAATTTACTTTCTTTGCCTCTTCATCTTTGTTTCCCTAGTGATCACTAAATTTTGCCTGCACAATTTTATGTGCAGGCAACACAAGCCCGTCGGTGGGATGTTTAACTTCTTTGTTTTTTATTTCTTGTATTGTGTATTAGTTCTTCAAATTCCAAAGATAAAGCAAAATATTAAATAACTTGGTGAAAAAGAACTTGAAAATTTCTTATTAGAATTGAATAAATAATATCTTATGAGGATTTCAGGCAACTTCATAGAGTTGAAGGATTATAGCAGAGAAAATATTGATTGAACACCTGGAAATAATTGTCTATTATTTTTAAATACTTCTTACAATGATTTTTACATTGACATGACATCGAACTAGAATGGACAAAATTCGTAAAATCCAAGTCTGACAGAAGATACACTGAGTCAAAAGTTCTTAAGACACTGTCAGCAGCGGACTGTCATTAGGACTTCCTCTATCATGGGCTACCTTTTGCTTACCATGCTAGAATAAATATGTGGCTCCTAAAATTATAGGTGAACAAACCTTTCTGCAAATATCTCACTAAGGCACTTACATTTTTGTAATTCTTGATACTTTTATAGATGTCCGTGCTAGGGATGTTTCCGAGGTCATTCCATGCAGGACTAAAAAAAGAAAAATTAACATCAGAATTTTTTTTTTTTGAAACAGCCATATTTTGGCCTAAAAAGTTAAAAATAGTCAAGTACAGTGGCACATGCCTATAATCACAGCCACTTGGGAGGCTGAGGCAGGAAGATCACAAATTCCAAATCAGCCTGAGCAATTTAGCTGTCACCATAAAGGGTAGGGGATGCTGAGGGTGTAGTCAGTGGTATGATATACGCCTAACATGTGTGGGGGCCCTGGGTTTGAGGCCCAGCACAGGAGTGGGAGAGAGGAATAAAAAGAAGCAGCTGCTAAACAGCCATCATTCTGCTGATTGGAAATCAGTATAGCAGATGACATTTTCCTGCAACTAACTCTGAAGTGAACAGCTGGTGTTTGCATGGAACTAGAGGAGGAAGTGACTCCGACTGTCTTCTGATCGCTGAGAGAAATAATGAGCACCATTCTTTCATGTGGAAAACAAATTATAGGATAAGTGAAGAGATTTTGGTACATTAACTTTAATCAAGGTCTCACCATAACCCGAAAGAGGCAGTTTATTATCCTTACCTTCAACAGTAAGTACACTGCGGTTCTGAGAAGCTAGAAAAGGCCCTGAGGTAAGGGATAGTACAGCCTCTGTCGTGGGTCTTGGGTGACTGGCACTTATTTGTAACTTATGGCAACTTCCTGATGCAGTATGGAGAGTCTGCGGATGATCAAATTAGTCTCTTTTTATAGAACTAGCAGCCTGGGAGGACCAGAAATAAGTCTGTCCTGTCAACCAGACTGTTGATTTCCTGTTCCTGATGCAATCAGATAAATTCCATGTTTCTTCAAGTGTGACGAGGGACATATGCTAAGTGCAGCTCCTGAAGAAAGACTATCTGTTTGGGGTCCTTTCAGCATTGTGCTCTCGGGAGCCGCACTATAATGACCGGAAATTAAACACTGTAGAGAATACCACTTTTTGTTGGCTAAAGGTCTGGTTACCAAACCAGCAGCAACACATGCGCCACCAGTTTTTCCTTGGCTTGCTGTAGTGTGCTGACTTTTAACTTGAAGCTCCTAAGTTAGTCTTTCTTTCCAAAACCCTTCTCTCTCAACCGCACACACAGAAGGAAAAACAGACACAGAGTTATTTCCTAGCAGCAAACTGGGCCCATTGGGACTGCATGAACTTTCAGGACTCTGGGCACCAAGGTGTGCTGAGGCAGAAAGCCACTGCCTGTTGGGCAGAATCAACATGCAAGCATAGGGAGGAAAGAAGGGTAAAGGAGAGCTAGATGCAGGCGTGTAGAGGTGAGCGTATGCTACGCTGGAGACATGGATACTGACGCTTTCCCAGGTCTCTTCTTCCCTGGTGGCCCAAGCACAGGCAGAGAAGTGGCCAAAGTCCGGAAAGACAATAGATGAATTAGGGAGGGAGAGCGACTCCGTTCCCCTCCAGGGCCCTTTTCCCCTCTAGACTCAGGAGGGCATGAAACCAAAGTCTCCTGGGAGTCCAAACAAAGCCAGCAACAAAATCCACCTTCAGTCTCCCTCACAGGTCCTCGCAGATGGTTTTCCATTATTTAACTCATGCCTTTGCTGCTTTCACTTTGCGTGTGAACTACTTATGTCTGCTTCACATAATTGTGTGACCTATTGGATATATTCCCTGCTTGAGAGATTTGGATGGATTCTCATTATAATCAACTGTTCTGAAGTTCTCCTGTTGTAGGTTGCACAATCTTGGGTTATAAGCTTCAAAAGAGGAAAATGAGTTGTAATAGATGTAGCAGTGTTCTTATCCCAAGCCTTGGATCCAATGTCTAGCATCCTTCATCTCATCTAAAGGAGAAACTACAGGGCTACCTCAGTCTGGCTGAGCTATGTGTCTGTTAGTCTAATGAGGCCTAAGGAAGAGCACAACCATGGAGCATGTGATGAAATCTAGAAATTTGGAGTGAGAAAATCCAAGTTCAAATCTTAGTTCTGCCAATTAGTAATGTGTGATCTGAGGGGCAATCCTTAGCCTTTCTGAGCTTAAACTTCCTCCTGCACAACGAGAATAATCAATGTATTCATAGTATATTTTTGAAGATTAAATATAACATTTACAAAGCACTGTGTGTTTTTTTTATAGAATCACTCAATATGTAATAACTGTTAGGAAAGGAAGTGGTTTCATCACATTTATCAAAACAGTATAGGAAAGTTTAGGGTGTATTGTCCTGTTGATAGGAAATCTGGGTTTTACTGTACTCACAACTGAACTCTCAGGACCACCGTCAATAGTCCAAATAAAAGGCCAGCCAGCAGACCCAGGTCCAGCCCCAAAATGATAGACATTATGCATGTAAACACCCAGGTAACCTAGGAGGGGAATAGAAGTGAAAAGAATTATATTCCCTGGTACCAGCAAATAATATAAAAATAAGATCAATTATCCACAAATTACAACTTTTAAAAAATATTCTGGTTTCATTCATTTTATATTGAAGTGAAGCTGGAAGTTAACCTTCCCAATTAATACCAACTACTCCATTGTATTTATTTTTAAGGTTTTGAACAGGCAATGTATTCACATGATTCAAAAGGGAATTAACATTTTCAAGATGTACAGTGAACAAATCTTGCCGACAATCCTCTCCCACCTCTACCCATTCCCCAAATCCTTTCCCATTTGTATCCACTTATATCTCTCTGTGTGAGCGTACACGTGCATGTGTGAAAGCATGCAGACTTTCCCCCAGTATTTCTATTCTGGTCTCTTTTTCACTTAATTCGTCTTAGAAATATTTTCCAATCAATAGATAAGAAGTTTGCTTAGTCTTTTTATGTGTCCTGGGCTCAATTAGTGCAGGAGTCTAAAAGACTTGGCTTCTGGTTTTTACAATTCCTCAGAAGAGTTGTAAAGACCACTTTAGTCACAAAGGAATGGGTTTTATGTTTTATTTTTGTTTGTTTTGTGTTTTGTTGGTGCTTTTAAACCAGGCTTTAAATAAAATGTGTTTGTTTTTCGGCTGCAGAAAGCCAAGGGTATATAAGCCTCATATGGGATTCTTCTGGAAATGAATCTTCCCAGAGAAACAGGGTCTTCACAACATGCAGGGTCTTCACATCAAGAATTTGGTTTATTCACACAATTCTAATTTCTGCTCTGGGATTTCCAAAGTGCAGGGAAAATGTAGGAAAAAGGGGACCATCGTGACATGACAGGGAGCATAGAGGAGCCAAAGCTTAGTTCAGAGAAAAATGGGTGGTGAGGGACTTACAGCATCCATCTTGTTCTGCCGCCACAGACGAGGAACATCGCACACCTGCATGAACATCCCTTTCAAGTTGGCAATTACAACTGCTGCCAAAACGGACTGCCAAGAGACACCAGGAAGGCTGGGTTATTCAGGAGAATGGTTTTCTACATGAAGATTTTTAAATCTCCTGTTATTTCTCTGGTAGCAGAGTGGTGAAATGAAATTATTCAGTTTTACAGAGAAAGCAGATTTATACCTTCTGCAAAGGTTCCAGAAGCTTCCCCAGGGCAACAATGGCAATCAGTACAATCCCAGCCGAAATGATGCCAGCAATCTGAAAAACACACACCTTACATGAAGAGCGTTCATCCTTCTCCCTGTGTCTACCAACTTGCTGTATATGCACATATCACAGGCACACTTGGTCCTTCCCTGACTCCCCCTCTGTGCATCATTCAGAGAGATGAGCATTATTTGGTAAGACTACACAAAACAACAAAAACAGAAAATATACATTCACAGAGAAATATATATATATATATGCATATTGCAAAGAAAGAGAACAGGGAGACTGAGCCTGCTAAAGTAAAGCCAGTTTGACATGGATTTCCTTTGGATATCTTGCAATTGTAGTTCTGGTGTCTATTGAGGAGCCTGACCTTTTAGTTATTTGCCATTCCATAAAACACAGACCATCTCCTTCTCTAACAACAGAGATTATGGTCATGTTCTTGGGAAATAAAGTTTCATGGCACATATCCAACTCTTCTGCATTATTGAAGCAGCAGCCATAATAGCAACCATGATAACTTGTTGCACTTGTAGCACATGGTTTTCAGCAAAGTCTCAGAATGTTAATTTAGCCCTTCTGCAGATTCGTGGTGCCATATGGGCACTGAGAGACAAGGCTCTGTCTCCTGTTGCATAGATGCTGGCTTCAGAGTTTGCTCCTAGCAGTGATGGAGCAATGACAGAGTAAAGGAAGCTCAGAAATGTTACCTTCATTGGCATAGAAAGCTCTGCCAAGATCCATAAATAGTTAGAAGAGAGGCTGGGGGTGGGAACTATTCTCTGGCTTGAGCAGATGACCAGTGAATTCTCTGTGGAGACAGTGGTGGCACGGCCAAGGAAGACTAGAAGCTCTGGAACAGAAGAGGAAACAGGGAACCAGAAGCAAAGCAGTCAGAGAGGAAGCCACAGGAGAGAGCATAAGTACTGCCTAGCACAGCAGGTGTGAGTTACAGGAGGCAAGAACAGCAAATGTAAAAAAAAAAATTAGAAAACATTCACTTCAGCAAGGTGCGATGGCTCATGCCTGTAACCCCAGCACTCTGGGAAGCCAAGGCAGGAGGATCGCTGCAAATTTGAGGCCACTTTGTCTTCATAGTAAGTTTAGGCTGAGCCTGGACTACATAGCAAGACCTTGTCTCAAACAACGACAAAAAAACACTCCATCTGGCAAATTGATCATTTCTGTTCAGGATATGGTTGAGCCAGCCTGGAGGAATATTATGTATATGATGTACTTTTAAAAAGCTCACACTATGTACCTGGTTTCCACCTCTGTGCTTTTCCTAGCACCACACCTCCAGGTTCCCAGCATCTTGGTGTGTTTACTCCTCCCCCCTTTTTTTTTTCTTCCGGTACCAGGAATTGAACTCACGACCTTGCGCTTGCCAGGCAGGCGCTTTGCTGCTGAGCTAAATCCCCAGCCCCCTACTCCTCCCCTTTCTAAGAAGAGAAGGTAATATTCTTTCTTTCCCTTTCTTCCTTTCTTCCAGTAATCCAGCCAATATTTAGTGAGTACTTGCACCTTACCATGAGTAAAGAAAGGGCTCTGTGAATTGGTAAGAGATATGGAGATTAGGGTACCAGGACCACAATGATGGCCCAACTCAGGCAAAAGTGGCTACTATTTAACAAGTATATATAACAAGGAGCCTCCCATTACCCAGGCACAGCTAACTTTAGTTAGTATATTGAAATCTGTGAAGGATCAGTTACTTGTACTTACTATATAAAATGGTTTGTTGGAAAGTTGATGGACTTTATGAGTAGATTCAATTACTAGCAAACTAATTATCCTGTTAAGTGACAGGACAATCAGAGTTAGAGAGTACTTTGTAATCAGAATTACTTTTTTATGAGTCAGTAGGAATCAGATGAGGGTAAAAGAAAGAACAGTACACTCCATCAATGTGCTGGACACAGTTAATGTCCACCAGTATGCATATTTTTGTTCATTCCTTCAGTAAATACATGCTGGGTGCTTCTCCTGGATCAGGCACAATACATGTACCATTGGCACTAGGGTTCTCTTCCTACCTGAAGGAGTGGGAAAATCAGCATTGGCCAGCATGTGCTAGGGCTTTACAACTTCTTATTTTAATTCCTGTAGCATACCTAAGAGAAGGATACAGTTTTGATCCCCATTCATAGATACAGAAACTGAGGCTCAAAAAAAGAAAAAAAAAAAAAAAAAAAACAAGAAGCCATACAACAAGCTGGGTGGCACATGCTTATAATCCCAGCATTGTGGGAGGCTGAGACAGGAGGATCATAAGTTCAAGCCCAGCCTGGACAATTAAGCAACT